TCCAGTCATTTCTGTGCATTGTCAGTTCTGCAATATAATTGTTATAAACAGCCTGGGGAGAGCTGTCCCTCCATCCTTACCAGAGGAGTCGTGGCTTGCACATCCATATACAGAGGTCGCAGCTCTGACTCGGCCTGTGGAGCAGTGGCTGTAGCTGAGGGAACATCAGACTGGGTAGCATGGTCTACAACTGACCAAGGGAAAAAAAAAAAAAAAAAAAGGTATGGAGTGGCCAAGCTGAGAAAACCTATGGACACAAGCTATCCAAGACAGCAGAAGGTGAAAGCTGGATGGAGGTGAGATGAGCTGAAAGGATGCTGGGGTTGAAGCTCAATGGAAAAGAAAACAAAACATCAGAGAACTTAAGCAAACTGTAAAAGGAAGAGAGGGAGACCGTGGTCTTGGAGGGGGGGTGTTGGGACAATATTCGAATTGCTTCGTTGGGAGCAGGGAGGGATCCGAAAGGGCAAAGCCATTTACAAGGACTGAGGAGACAGAGTAGGTTAAAATCTCCCTCAAAGATTACTGGCTGGACAACTAGCATCTCTTAAAGTTGGCCAGGAGAGGTCTGAAGACCGATCAAGCTTCCAAGGATCTGAGGGCCTGTGGGGTAGGATCTGAAGGGCGACACGGCGAAGTCAACCGATCTGAGGGTGAGCCTGAGAAAGTCTGAGGGGTGCAGCCAGAAGGCAGGGTCAGGGGTCTGGGTAACTGGCGGAAGAGCGAGGCTCTGTAATATTCAGGTGCGTCGCCACGCCAATGGGGAAGGTCCGCGCCTGCAGGGACGGTGGCGGCGAGCAGGGCCCGAGCGTACCGCGCAGGCGCAGCCCCCGAGTGGGCGCCGTGGAGTTGGGCCCCGGAGAGACCGGCACAGCAGCGGCCGCCCGCCTCCAAGCGGTTCGCAGCAGCATGGTCCCGCAGGAAGAGCCCCCCGCCCGAGGCGGCAGCAGTCCTCAGCTACGCGCTCCCGGAAGTTCTGCTCCGCGCCCCGGAAACAGTTCCTCCGGTCGCGGGCGCGCTCCGCCTCGCGTTTTGTGAGAGACGTAGAGCTGAGCGACCGAACCCGCGAACGAGGTGAGGTGGGGGACGCCGCGGCGCGGGGACCCGAACACTAAGAGGGTGATGGAGTCGGGTTACGCGCTTATTTTCCTCCCTGGACTTCCCCGAACCCTTGGATCCGCTCCCCACCCTTCCCCCCCCCCCGGCCCCCGCCCTATTCGGGCAGACGGCTAGGCCCACACTCCCCTAACCTTCGAAACCCGCAGATGCCGGTGGCGGTGGGGCCCTACGGGCAGTCCCAGCCGAGCTGCTTCGACCGTGTGAAGATGGGCTTTGTGATGGGCTGCGCAGTGGGCATGGCGGCCGGGGCGCTCTTCGGCACCTTTTCCTGTCTCAGGTGAGGGGCGCGGGCGGTGATCTCTGGGCGGGACTACAGGACCTGCCCGTCCCGCGCCTCTTGGCCGGCAGCCTGGATAGAGCCTACTTCGTTTCAGTTCCCTCGCTGTCCTTTAACGAGCGAGACAGATTTCCTACTCACCTTCAGTCTGCAAGAAAAGGTTGGAAGCCTCGGCGCTTGAGAATACGAGTTCTGACTCAAACTGAAAGTCAGAAATTCTGACTCTACTCCTTCTGTAACCTTAAGCACGTTGGAGTCTGGGTTTCCTTAAGTGTGGAAAGAGGTCAGTAACATCTACCTCATAGAGTTTTAAGGGTCTAATCAGAGCACACGTCCCACAGAATGTGGCATATATTAAGTGCTCAATAAATGGTTGTTGCTACTGTCGCTATTTTTATTTCTAGTTGCGCATCATGAAACTAAGTTGAGTAATTTTACTGTCCAGCAAACAAGATATAGATACGGAGCAGATAAACTCTAAACCTACACCCCAAATGTCATTTTCACGTGTAGTAGATTCTTCTTCCCACTTTTCCATAGTGTAAGTTACCATTTACTGAGCACTTATCCAGTGTGAATCACTGGTCTAAATGCTGCATGTGTTCTCACAATCCCGTGGTTATGATCCCCATTTCAGAGTTAGCACAGCCTGTAAATTGCAGAGCTGGGGCATGAACACAGATCTGACTCCACAATCATTGCTTTAAACCAGGAAACCATCAGAAAGACAGATGTCTTTATTGGAGCATATGGGTATTTTATACATAGATTATATCCTGGAGGTAAAAGCAAAACAAAAAACTAGTTTCTCAATCTACTTTGCATCAGTTGCCTCCCACAAACTGAAGGCAGGTCATAGGATATTCATCAGAATACCCCTAGAGACCCTGATGCATTGTTTTCTTAGTCATTACCCACCTCAGGTGGGAAAAGATAATGTCTTGGCAGGCTTCAAGAGTAATTTACTAGGAACACAAATTGGAAAAGGGCAGTTAATGCCATTTCTTGTATTTTTGTTCCCAGTTGGCCCCATCTTCGTTTCCTCCTCTTCTAGGATCGGAATGCGGGGTCGGGAGCTGATGGGCGGAATCGGGAAAACCATGATGCAGAGTGGCGGCACTTTTGGCACATTCATGGCCATCGGGATGGGCATCCGATGCTAATCAGGGCAGTGGTTGCCCAGTACAGCTACCCCTTCCCATCAGTCCCAGCTCATGTACTATAATAAAACAAGCCTTTGAGTAGTCGGAGTGTGTTAAAGGCATTTTTTTCTTCACTTCCCACCTATAACCCATCTTAGAGAAAGCTTCAGAGGCGGAACAATGAGTAGGTTTGGGTTCTGTTTCTTAAATACTGTTAATCCAAAATTAGGAAAATTTTCCATGCCTGGAACTTACTGTGGATTCTAATAAACTACTATTCAACCCCATAAGGTTGATGCTGTTTCTCACCATTTTAAAGATTTATTTATTTGACAGATCACAAGGAGGCAGAGAGAGGGGTGGGGGGTAACAGGCTCCCTGATGAGCAGAGAGCAATGTGGGGCTCTATCCCAAGACCCTGGGATCACGACCAGAGCCGAAGGCAGAGGCTTTGACCCTCTAAGCCACCCAGGCGCCCCTGTTCTCACCATTTTAAAGGTGAAAAACTAAGTTTAGATTTCCTCAAGGTCGCACTGCAAAAGGTAGTGTTAACCCAAGTCTAATTTCCGAAGTTATACTCATCCAAAAATTGTCCTTCAGATTTTGTGCAGACTTCAGAAAAAGAACAAATCATCCACTGGGAGGGGCGCCTGGGTGGCTCAGTGGGTTAAAGCCTGTGCCTTAGGCTCAGGTCGTGATCTCAGGGCCCTGGGATCAAACCCCACATCAGGCTCTCTGCTCGTAGGAGCCTGCTTCTCTCTCTCTCTCTCTCCCTGCCTGCCTCTCTGCCCACTTCTGGTCTCTGTCAAATAAATAAAATCTTTAAAAAAAAAAAAAAAAATCAACCACTGGGAAACAAATTCAACAAACTGACACAATGTAGCTTAATGTCATAAACCTCCCAATTTTCTAACCAGCCATCCACGAGGAGGTCAATTTTGTAAAATGACCCCCTGCTTTATACACACAATTCAGTTGTGTTCATAAAATCGGTTCTTTGTAATAAGGGCAAGTGCCTCTCCCCTACTCCAGCCACACAGCCCTTGACAGACTTTGCTTTGAACTGTATTGCCCCTCAAGGAAAATGGTAACATAATGATGGACATAAGAAACTACACTGGCAGGGGCGCCTGGGTAGCTCAGTGGGTTAAAGCCTCTGCCTTCAGCTGGGGTTATGATCCTAGGGTCCCAGGATAGAGCCCCGCATTGGGCTCCTGCTCAGCAGGAAGCCGGCTTCTCCCTCTCCCACTCCCTCTGCTTCTGTTCCCTCATTGTGTCTCTGTCAAATAAATACTTAAACACACACACACACACACCAAAAAACTACACTGGCAATATTTGGGAGGTCATAAGGACACTACCAAAATAGCTACAGCAGCTAGGTTTCCCAGTGTGGGATGCTGTCTCAGGAATGGATTACTTCTAACATTCACTCGGAATTCACATGATTACTTTGTCACACTACTCAGATTACTTGTACCATATTTGCTTTAGTATCATTCACAACCCAAATTTCATTCTGTGGCAGTAGGGAAATGTTTTAACACTACCTCTTTTTAACATGAGATTATAATTAAGTTTGTGGCCCCAGCTCCCCAGAAAGTAATGACAGAACAAAGCAGATAGAGTATCAATCAAGAATAAAAAATTTAATTATGAAGATACTTTGGGAAAGAAAAAAACTATTGAAGTAGTAAGTCTGCCCCCCAAAACACTGCTGCCTATTGTTGAAAAATAAACTTGCATCTTGGAAATTTTCTTTAGGTTCAGTAACTGAAGCAATTAAGTAATTTTCAGTGTCATCAGAAAGGATCGGTTAGTATAAAATCGTGATGCCTCCAGATTCAACTAATTATTTTCACAAATGAATAAACCTATAAAATTTATGCCTTAACACTAATAAATCGATAAGAGTAGAAAGCAGCAGGTGAGGAAATCAACACTGGAAGTTAATCATTCCATTAGGAGCAACATGGCCTATTCAAAGGTTCAAGGTAGATACAAAAACTTGAAGCGGAGTTCAGAATATAAATGGCTTATTGCCTAAATACACTTAAAGCTCAATTCCTTAATAAAATAACATGCAGCTCAGTTTGGGAAATCAGTTAAATGTTTCAACTTTAACCATTTTGGTATTTAAATAGTGAAACATTTTTTCACAGAGATGCCCTAACATAGTAGAGACAAGAATACCCAGGTTTAAGGGCTAATTAAATGTTTCATTTTCTTGTTGGAAAATCCCTAAGGTTTTGATTCATTACCCTAAAAAGTACAGTGCTAAAATATGGTAAAATGGAGGAATGTAACAGAAACAACTTGAGGGCAACAATCTTCCCAAACTCTGCACACTAAGCATTTTCCCCAAGAAGGAAGTCTTGAATGACTACTAAAAGTCAAAGAAACTAATATTCTACTTTCAAGTTTCTAGGACTTCAAAACATTTTAAAAATGAAGATTTCTTATGGCCTTTTTAAGAGAATTTTATTTGAGTGGTTCTTACAAAGGTTGTTGCAATATGAAAGTCATTTGTTTGATAGAAATATCAAGCTGTCTTGTCAAACACACTGAAGTAACCCAAAAATATATTTCAGAGCTCACAGAGCTTAAAAAGAGCAAAGATTATATGCAACCAGACAAAACCTATTTCTGCATTTCCTATTTCTTGCTCAGACTGCTCTGCTTACCAGACTGTCACTAAACATCTTGAGGAAATGCAGGGATCATTTTGTTTGGAATCTTAGACACATCAGAACACATAATATTTACAAAGAAACTTTTACAGATACATTAATTGAAAAGATAGCATCCAGAAATGTAATCTTGAAAACTCCTTTTCTTGCCAATTGATCACGATGCAAGATGAGATGTTAATCAAACAGCCCTTTAGCTGTCTTGAATTTCCATACACTAAATGTGTACTCCAGAAACCTCTGCTAAACCATTAGCCAAGTATCAACATTAGTGAAACGTGTAATGTAACTGCTGTGTAAAAAGTTAGGCTTCTGAAACATTAAAAACATAATTACATCTCTGTCTGCCTTTTTACATTAAGCACATCTGTTCCCCCCCTAGAGCTATTCCTATAGATCCTTAATGTAAATTTCTACATGTACATTTAAAAGGCAGAACAAGAGAACAGCTTTGTATACAGTGGGATTTGCTAGTTAGGGATAATGAGCACACTGCATTCCTGTTAACATTTTTATTTTTTCAAGGTAACAGGAATTGTATACAAATGACAGTAGACCCTTGCCTCTTTATTTTTATCTAAATAAAAGATAACTCAAGATGAATTCTCAAGAAAGAAAAAAAGCTATGTACATAAGGGACTATATCTTCCTTCATCGTCTACTTGGAACCAGTAGTTGTGTTGCTGTCATAGAATCAGGGAAGAGGTTGTGATAAGTTGGAAGAGGTACATATGCTGCTGTTATCATTTTACCTGTTGAAAGAAGCAGATATGAGGGTTTAGCATTTTCACTAAAATTACATCCTTCATAATAATCAGAAAAACAGATGAAACTCACCGGCAAACCACCTGCCATGCAATGCATTGACAGCAGCAATGGCTGCAGCAATTGATGGGCACTTCACATACACGTTGCCCTGAAATAACAATTAATAAAAAGATAAGGGATGTATACAATTTTTCCAAATTTCCTGTTAAATTAAAAAAAAAAAAAAACACACAACCAAGAGCTCTATAACCAAATACTTTTGCATTAGCTAGTATGTACACCTAGGAATTTAATGAAATTAATTTACCCTCCCCGAACTTGTCGTATTCTTTTTTTCTGTGACTTGAAAGCAGCTGAAGAATGAAGAGGACAGTATTTCATGGCAAACTTTCAACACTACCAGCAACATTGCCATACTATGGTCTGATCTAATCTTACTATTAGAGGAGTGTCCTTATGTTGGGGAATATATATTTAGTCACTACGTTAAAATTTATCAGAATTATAAAACAAAACAAAAACTTCCTGGGACAGTGGTAATATGCCGCAAGTATGTATGAAGACTAAGTCATAAAAGAGTAAAACATTCTATCTTTATTAATATCATAACACCTGAGATGAGGTGCATAAAGGGCAGATTAAACTTTTCTGGCGTTAGAGGGAAAAAAAAGATACCTGAGCTGAATTTTTGTCAACATAAATATGAATAACTCCTCCATGTTTATTACATTCTTCAATCACATCATCCTTAATCTCTGTATCCCATCCAACTTCTTCTTCTCTGTTAAGAGAAAGTATTAAGGTCTATCAGACACCATTCAAACTTTTAAAAGTTACATATTCATCTGTATAAAAATATGTCAAGTATGAATTCACTTAACTAATTTAAAAATCATTGATGTTAGCAGTGTAGTGCACTGGAGAAAATAAACAGGATTTAAGGCACTGTTCAGAACAAAGCTTAACGAATTTTTTAAAAAGACTTTGAGAGAGCTGGTGCCCATGTGTGCACATGAGCATGGGGAGGGGCAGAGGGTGACAGAGAAGCAGACTCCCCCAGTTTTCCTGGGAGTCCAACATACCAGGCTTGATCCCAGGAACCTGAGACCATGACCTGAGCCAAGTCAGACAATTACCAACTGAGCTACCCAAACATCCCAAATAATGAATTTCCTAACTCTAAATTAACATTTAAAGTAGTTATGGCCATACAGCAAATAATATGTATACCAAGTTTATCATTAACCAAAGCTAAAAAAACATAAAATAAAAAAAAGATTTTGATATTATCTGGACACCTGGGAGGCTCTATCAGTTAAGCGTCTGCCTTCAGCTCAGATCACCATCCCAGGGTCCTAGGATCGAGTTCCACATCGGGCTCCTTGCTCAGTGAGGAAACTGCTTCCTTCTTTTTTAATTCTTTTTTTTTAGGATTTTATTTGAGAGAGACTGAAAGAGAGACAGATTAGAGGGGAAGGGAGAAGCAGACTCACTGCTAAGTGGAGCCCACTTCTTGCCTGCCACTCCCCTCTACTTGTGCACGCTCTCACACTTGCTCTCTGACAATAAATAAAATCTTGAGGAAAAAAAAAAAAAAAAAAGAATTTGGTGTTACCAAAAGAACACAAGAATCCAAAGCTCAATCTCTATGGTAAACCACGAATATAAACAATGCGAAGAGCATGTGACAAACTACTGCATATAAAACAATCTTTTATAACATGTAACGGTTCATTTATCAAATCAACTGAAGAGGTTATCTTCATTTGCCTCAGAATGTATTACAAATACGATTCATTAAAAAAAAACAGAAGAGTTTGGACTGATAAATAAATGGCATTCTAATCACTGTGCCTAGGCATTAGGAAAAAGAAATTCCTAATTCCTGGACTGCATTAATCTAGGAATATTTTCAAAGGTCCTCTTCTGCTATATAAAATTAAAATAATATGAAAATCTCCAAGCCAAGAACTGCTAGCAGAATAAAGTGGCAACAGAAATAAACACAAATACACATGAACAAACAAAACAAGCAGAAGCACACCCATAGAGGACAAAACGGTGACTGCTGGAGGAGAGGAGGGTGTAGGGATGGGTAAAATAGGTGAAGCGGAGTGGGACGTACAAGCTTTCAGTTATGAACATAGTACGTCCACAAAGAGTACAGGACAGGGAATATAGTCAATGATACTGTAACAGAGGTATATGGTGACAAATGGTAAGCTACAGTGAGCATAGAGAAAGGTGTAGTGTTGAACAACTATTATGAGCCTGAAACTAATGTAACACAATGTATGTAAAATTACAAGTGATAAACACTAATAGAAAACTTCTGAGAAAAATACTTAGATATAATTGGTAAACAAAATCTGTATACCTTTTACATCAATTCCAATCTTATAAACAAACCCAAAGGATTTAGCAATAAAAAGGTTATTAAAATACCCTAAGGAAGGATGAAAACTGTTGCTTACTATTTGAAATGTAAAATATATTGAAGCCTCCAGAATGTTAACTTAGAAAAGCTGAATATTAATACCATCACAGTACAACATGGCTTTCAATTGCACAAGTCCACCTATACAGTACTATAAATGTAGTTGCTCTAAGATTTTCTATTCTTTAGCTTTAGAATGCAGTACAGAAGACATGTAACATACAAGATATCTGTTTATCAACTGTTTATGTTACTATAAGGATTTCAGTCAACAGTAGGGTGCTAGCAGTTAAGTTCTAGAGGAAGTAAAAATTTACACAGATTTTTGACTATGCAAGCAGGGGTCTGCACCTGTGATCCTTGCACTGTTCAAGTGTCAACGGTACATATACCCTTTTTACTTTTTAAGTTTTTATTTATTTATCAGAAAGAGATCACAAGTAGGCAAAGAGGCAGGCAGAGAGGGAGGGAGAAGCAGGCTCCCTGCTGAGCAGAGACCCCCCTTCAGGACTCAATCCCAGGACCCCAGGATCATGACCTGAGCCAAAGGCAGAAACTTTAACCCAATGAGCCACCCAGGCACCCCTATATACCCCTTTTCCAACTTGACCAAAGTATATTACTTACGTTTGAGGGTTAAACATGTTAGAAAGTTGGAAACACTGTGTTGCAAGAGGCTGAACGGAGGCAGCTGCAGCTAAAGCTGAAGCTAAAAAAAAAGAAGAAAAAAAAAAAAAGAGAGAGAGAGAGAGAAATTAGCTTCATGGAAAATGCATCAGAATAGCCCTGATGAATAAAATAAAACCAAAACCCCCTCTAAATCCCAACTGTGAAACTAGGATAGTTAAGTCACTTCCCTAATTTGCTTAATAATGCAATCAAAGCATGTAATGGTACCCAACTGGAGTTGCCAGAAAAGTGAAACAACCGAACATTTGAAATAGCCAATCTTCAGTTGGAAATTTTATTTTTAGAAGGAAAATTAACCTTTAGGTGTAATCAGAACTCATTCAATTAGACAAATTTAAAAATCAATCCAGAAAGGCAAAGGATAAAATAGAAGATTGATTTTGTAGAACTGCTTGAGTTTATACCCTAAGAAGCAGGGAACGATGAAAATACCATCTTTTGGTTTTGCCCATGAATATATTTACGTATTTTCTTTTAAATAAATATTATAAAAGGACTGTTTGTAACAGAGAAGATGCAGAAAACCATCCATTTAAAATTTAATATCCAGGAATATAAACCCTATTTCGAAATCAAAGGAGTATTTTTTAAATGACTAGGTCACAGCACAAGAAACACTAAAAATGCGATATATGTTGTTATACTACTAAGACACTAATATCCAGGAGGAACACTGAAAACCCACACTGGTTTTAGGGTTGAAGTGAGAGCACTGTCCGAAACGGCTGCCCCACTGCTTTTATATGGGATTCACAAAACATTATCAGTAGCTGTTACAGAACTCACCGTAATCAATATATTTGACCAAATTTCATTCCAATATATAACAACAAACAAAGCTAAGGATAAAACAGTGCATTAGAAATTATGGTAATTAAAATTAACAATCACCTGAGGAAATATCAGATATTATTCCACTGAATAAAAATTAGGGCCATGCATGAAATGCATCATAAAAAACGATTAAATTACAAAAGTGCCTTTTGCCCCTTTTATTACTTTATTACTTCAATAGACATTTTTATTCTTTCATGAAGCTTTGCATGGAAATATAAATGCTAAAAAAAAGCTAACATGTCATATTCCATTCAGAAAGGGTGAAGATGTAACCATGCTTATGTTACAACGAATATAAAAATGAGACCCACTGTGTACTTTATCATAAACAAATGGAAATATTCTTGAAAATATACACTAGCTTATTATAAAACTGAGAACTACTTCATTTTTTTTCCATTTTCTTAAATGAATTAGGACAAAAATTTAGAAAATATATGATAGGAACATTCCAGCTCCACCTAGATGAACGCAGAACACAATGAATTCAGCACAGAAATATAGCGAATAGAAAAATCCACTACTTATACTTTTTAAAATCTGTTGCAAAAAAAAAAAAAAAAAAAAAAAGAATTGAGTGTTAACTGTCTCACTTACTGGAAAAAAATTAAAATACACATTTAATTCCTATCACGGAACACGGTAGATATTTTCATATAGAATCATTCTCCTAAACAACTTTTAAGTACAACCTATGAAAGATGGGATACTGAATTAGCTCAACAGCAAAATACTATAAACAAATGGCAGAGATTTGGCAATCAAAAACAAGAAAAAATAGCCTACTTTAGAAATAATTATTTCAATCTTTGAAATATGCATGCAATTTAGTTCTGGCTAACTGCCTCATTGCTTGGTACTGTTAATACAAATCCCTAAAGTTAGAGTCCTTAACCTTACGTTAATTAAGTTCAGACTCCTGAAAGATTTATGTGCTGAAACAACAAATTCCACTTTCTGACTTCTACACAAAACAATCAGAACACAAAGATAAGCATACAAAACTAAAGATAATCCCAAAGTAAGCAACAAATGCACATGCACAGACATTTTAAATTTTGTTCCTCAGAACTCTAATGATTTGGATTAAGCCAACTGAAATGTACATTAATAGATGGCTTAATGTATATACACCATATTATGTCATTCTTTAAAAAAATCCAAAATCCAAAATGTAACAAGTGATATAACAACTATGTCTTACTACATTGACATCTATTTCAAAGACAAATAAAAAGCTCAACTCACCTTCAGTCTGTTGAGAAAGTCTTGTTTGCAAATCTATAACAAAAGAGAATTCTACAGCTCAGTGCAGGAACAATGAAGAGCCTCAACTAACAGGGTAAATGTCAGGAAAGCATTAATAAAAGAGGACTACATAGCAGGGTTTATCAAAATAAACTTCTAGTAAAACCTGGCAGCCAAACCTCCTTCCCCATTCCTCATTGACAAGGCTTTGGGGCCTTTTTCTTTCCTCCTATCCTAGGACTTCTTATGCCTCTGTCCTCCTACTCCTGGTACTCTACCACATCTCCTATGTATTCCACATACTACTCTTCACATGGGAATAATGGGAAATGGGGAAAGGGAAGCACACCGGTCAGAAAATCCATGAAAACCCTGATCTTGAGAATTCAATTCCAAGTACTTGGGATATTCAACTCTGGCTGAGAAGATGACAGTTTAATCAGATCTAGTTTCCTGGCATAGTATGGAAATTTAATGAAGCAGAAATTTTAACCAAGATTACTATAATCTATGAAATACAAGAAGAATTCAATCATCTAGTCACTATCAAAAATAAGAAGAATGGGGATGTTTACCAGTGTATTTCCCCATATAATCATTAAATTCTCCAGGGGAAGTGAAGTTAACAGAAAGCTGCTTAGCACTGAAAACAGCAGCAAATCTAAATGGGAAAAAAAAAAAAAAAGTGTGCTATCTTGAAGTTAAAAACTATGAAAATACATAACATAAAAATTATTTAGGGACGCCTGGGTGGCTCAGTTGGTTAAGCGGCTGCCTTAGCTCAGGTCATGATCCCAGCGTCCTGGGATCGAGTCCCACATCGGGCTCCTTGCTCAGCAGGGAACCTGCTTCTCCCTCTGCCTCTGCCTGCCTCTCTGTCTGCCTGTGCTCGCTCACTCTCTCCCCCTCTGTCCCTGACAAATAAATAAATAAAATCTTAAAAAAAAAAAAAAGATTTAAAAAAAATTATTTAGATCCAGTAACCTAATTTTTATTAACGTGATTTAACTGTAACACGTTATCATCATCTAGGTGTCTTCCTGAGTACAGAAAAAAAATTTAAAATGGGCAAAAATGGCACCTTCTTGCTCAGTGGACAGTGCAACTCCCAACTCAGGGTTATGAGTTCAATCCCCTCGATGGATGTAGATATTGCTTAAAAATAGAATCTCAAAAGGTGGGGCAAAAAGGAAAAGGGATTGGCACCACAAGTTATGCTGAGATAAAATATACTTGGGTCCTAGGGGCTCAAAACTGGTATCTGAGGGAGTTCAAGAAATGTAACTGGTATAGACTGAAGGAACGTGAAGATATGACCATAGAAACACTGTCAAACTTTATAACACAATTTGTCTTTTCTTTCCATACAGTAGGGAAAAAAATCTACCATAAGGGATGCCTGGCTGCCTCAGTCAGAAGAGCACAGGACTCTTGATCTCAGGGTTGTGAGTTCAAGCCCCACACTGGATGCAGAGTTTACTTAAATAAATGAATAAATGAAAACTTAAAAAAAAAAAAAACAAAAACAACAAACACACACTATTTTAAGGGTATGTAAATCCCTATCAAGATTTCAAAAATGATTTTAAAGGTCATTTGTAACAAGTTAGGAAACAAAATACAAGATTCATAAAGGACTCTATTTTAGGAACAACTTCTTAAATTTCTAAAATAAAGTGGATAAAGATTCACCCTTGGTTTTAAAAAAAAAACAGCTTTAAAGAACTTAGGAGAAAGGGCTTTGGACACACTGAAAAGCAATTTATAGCATTTCAACAAGAAGTAAGATTTTAATGATGACTATCAGGAGAAAAATACCGAGTTAATGTAAATATTTACCTACAAATTGAGTGATTATTAATTCAGTAGCAATAACAATCTATGGGAATTTTAAGAAGAAAGAATCAAACTTTATAATCATCTCAATAAACACTAGTAAGGGTGAATATAACAAATACAGATAACTGGCTACTCCGCCAATCCACATACACCTTTACAGAGTTCTAGTTGATCACAATTAGCCCGCCTTAACTATGAACTGCACAGTAAATGTACCCAAGAAGGTGTAGCCATACATCATGCATTGAGAAATAATGGCTAAGGATAGTTAGAATGTCTAATTTTCAAAAATCTTCAATTAGGTGAAGATACTGTTTATGAAGAACATCAACATATTTGATACCGCACTCAGGATATAACGTAAGATTGTTTAGAAACAAACCCTATGTTACTACACCAAATCCCCAAAGACAGCAGACAAATATTCACTACCCTCTAGTGAAATAACTAGAACATGATAAACAGTCCAGCATTTTCTAAATTATTAAAAGAATGATGTGAACAATGGGAAGCAATATAAGGTTAGTTTTTAGATTAAATAGCAAGTCTATTTATTGACTTAAAGACTTTATTATAGACAGAGAAAGCAAAGGAGAGAACACAAGCATGGGGCAGCTGGAGAGGGAGAGGCAGGCTCCCTGCTGAGCAGGATGTCCATTATGGGGCTCCATCTCTGGACGCCCAGATTAGCACCTGAGCCAAAGACAGATGCTTAACGAAAAAGCCACCCAGGTGTCCCTAAATAGCAAGTTTAAAAGCATAGACTGAGTTCCATTTCTGGAAGGGATGGGTTCCCTAATGTCTTTGATTAAACCAAGTGGCATTCTTTGGCTATTTGGTGACTCAAGCAATTAAATGTCTATTACTTGTTTATAGAGTCAAAACAATTTAGTGATACTTGGGGGAGTTTTCCAGTGACTCAAAACACAGAAGTCCATTAATGGTTATGATTTTTTCCCATAAAGACAAGGTAGTGTGGTTTTATCAGAAAAAAGATTCACTTGAGAGAAAAGAGAGGGAGAGACAGTGTTAAGTGCTAGGGGCAGAGAGAGAAGGGGAGAGCATCTCAAGTAGACTCCATGCCCTATGCAGAATCTATGATGTGGGGATGATGTCACGACCCTGAGATCATGACTTGACTGAAATCAAGAGACTGATGCTTAACCCACTAACCACCCAGGCACCCTGGTTCTGTCAAAAGTTTTATAAATACCTATCAGATTTCAAAATAAATAATAGAATCTGACAGGAGAAACACAAAAACAGAAAAGGCAGATTTTCTAAAGTTACAAACGTGTGGAGATCCACTAAAAAGGAAACAGTGAGAAGGCCCTTCTCTCTTAATAACAAAATAGAAAAGCAAAAAGATTCTCTCCTTTAATTAATAAGCTTTTGATTTAAATGGAAATTATAAATCAATCAACTACATAAAAAGGTCCATGGAATCAATCATGGACATTTATGTATATTCAGACGCAGTACTGTGGTCTTAAACTTACAAACTGTCAGTTACAGAGTCTCACTTTGTAGGTAGTATTCATATTACAAAGTGCCATACTTTCTTGGGATATAGATTTCCTGTCTTCCAAGGTCCAAAATACAAATGGTTCTTCTTACATGTTCTAAAACCAAGTTCTTCAACATTTCAAAATTAAATGCTACTCTGGCTGACAGGTTTTGATTAGCATCAAGGTTTATAAAAGGAAATTTGAGGAACTTAAGCCAAACAAAAACAATGTTTATCATAAACCAAACCCCTTGTTACACAACTACAATAAACCATTGCTTCTCTATTTTCCTGCCCTGTTCATGAGCTCCCATTCCCCTAACTGAAAATCTCAAAATACCATGTACTGTTTAGACGAAAGCACTCTTGGTATTGTAATTATTTTACATAAAGCTTGATTTAAAGGCCCCTAATAGTTTTCTCAACTCAAACATTACAAAGAAACATTTCTTGAAACAATATACATTTAGTATTTAAGAAAAGTTATGGATTTACAAAGGTCTAACAGGTAATTCCAACTAAAAATGGTACGTAGGGTTCAAGAAAATGCCCTGATAGCCTATTATTATTAGTGAATAATTCTATTCTGTATTTCCATTTCCTTTAAATTTATAGGCTAAAAAGTACTTGATGAATTGAATTCTCAGTAAGTCCTTTTAAATGCAAAAATTTGGCAAATTTTCGAATTAGGTGAAAAACAATGATTTCAAATTAGAAAAGATTCAATTCCTACCTGCCACAGCACCAAATGCCAAAGAGCCACTCATTTGTAGAGCCTGCTGTGCTGCTGGTGGAATCTGCAAACCTGTACCTGTGTAAAAGAAAAGAGATCTTACAGTCCTTACTATGTTAAGAGTAGAGAACCCCAATTTTCTGGGTGCTTACTACTACCAAAGTTACTTCACTAGAAGTATTTACAAGCAAGACTTGTAATCCGGGCGACCGGGGATATAAATATCATTAAGAAAGCAAAACGAATCCTATAATGTATGCTGTGGCACTCAAAAGGCACCACCACAAAGTAGATTCCAATAGAACTTTTTAAAAGTAGCCTCATCTATGAAATTGCATTTACCACCCAAGAATAAGAAGGTCAACCACAAAATTTTAAAAAAATATTTTTTATTAGTCTGTGTCGGTTACCTTACTCATTACCATATTCACAATAAATCATTCACAACACATGTGAAAACTTACCTTCTGCAAGTCTTGCCATTAATTGGAGACGACCAGTTGTTCCCAAGTCAATTCCAGTCCTTTCCAGTTCATCACTGTCCAAGAATGAGCTAGCACTGGAAGCATCAGTACGTTCAGTAACATGACCAACTTTCATTGGTCTTCCTGCTAACTCAAATCCATTAAGCTGTTCCAAAGCCTTCTTGGCACATTCTGAATCAGAAAACTGTAATTGAAGTAAAGGTGAAAGTAAAAAGTCCAGTATGTAAGTTCATGTATATACCTAAAGTAAAGAAATGCTTACTTATTAAGTCTAGTCTATTCAATAATTACACAAGTGGGTGGATGGCAAAGTAGAATTTCTAGCTTTAAGTTAAAACCTATATGATCAGATCACAAACTCATTCAAATTAGCTCTGTTAATGTGATGGTTTGAACAGCAAGGTATTACGAAATGACACCAAAATTCAGGGGGCGCCTGGGTGGCTCGATTGGTTGGAGCCTTTGCCTTCAGCTCGGGTCATGATCCCAGGGCCCTGGGATCGAGCCCCACATCGGGCTCTCTGCTCAGCCTCTCTGCCTACTTGTGATCTCTGTCAAATAAATAAATAAAGAAAATCTTTAAAAAAAAAAAAAAAGAGCATATGAAGTAATTTTCCTAACATCAAAACTCTTTTTAATGTGCTCAGATAAACTAAAATGGTGCTGTTTCCTACCATAAAAAAAGAGCTACTGGTGTGCCTGGGTGGTTCAGTTAGTTAAGTACACTGCCTTCAGCCTCAGGTCATGATCCCAGAGTCCTAGGATGGAGTCCCACATCAGACTCCACGCTCAACGGGGAACCCGCCTCTCCCTCTACTGGCTGCTTCCTCTGCTTGTGCTGTCAAATAACTAAATAAAATCTTTAAATAGAAAAATTAAAAGTTCACTCAGCTATTATTAATACGACATTGTGGGTCATTTTATTGCCAATAAAATCATAAAAAATATTTTTTTTCTTTAAATCGTGGAAATTCTTAATTCCCAGGATGCAAACACACACTTAGTTGCACACTAATTCTCATTTTTAATTGGGGGTGGGGGGACATGACACGACACAATGATGACAACAACCTCCCAAAAATCCCATAGCTTAGTATCTCATCAGTATGATTCAAAACATTTTCTCCTGAGAAAGAAAAAATTACAGATACTTACAAACATTTATGAACACACAGCAGAACCATGTAAATTAAAATAATCTAAGCTTTGTACATAGATAACTAAATCATAGCCAACAGTTCACACATAGCGGATATTAAAAATGTTTTCTCTTATTAACATATAATGTATTATTAGCCCCAGGGGTACAGGTCTGTGAATCCCCATGTTTACACACTTCACAGCACTCACCATAGCACATACCCTCCCCAATGTCCAAAACCCAACCACCCTCTCCCTACCCGCCTCTCCCCGACAACCCTCAGTTTGTTTTGTGAGATTAAGAGTCTCTTACGGTTTGTCTCCCTCCCTATCCCATCTTGTTTCATTTATTAAAGATGTTTTTAATAGGGGCAGGTCATGATCCTGGAGTCTTGGGAATGAGTCCCAAATTGGGCTCCCTGCTTAGTAAGGGAGTCGCCTTTTCCCTCCCCCTTCCCCCTGCTCCTCTTCTCTCAAGCAAAATCTTTTTTTTTTTAAAGTTACTAACAGTTTTTGATAAGATTTTATTTATTTGATAGAGAAAGTGCACGTCCACCTGCACAAACAGGGGGAGTGGCAGGCAAAGGGAGAGGTAGAAGCAGGTTCCCCACAGGAGGGGAAGTCAGATATGGGACTCAATCCCAGGACTCTGGGATCATGACCTGAGCTGAAGGTAGTGGCTCAACCAACTGAGCCACCCAAATGCCCATACTAACAGTTTTGTAAACTTTTCTCCTTCCACCAGTGTATAAAGACGAATAAAAATAACCAAATGACCAATAAAACTTTCTCTATCATTAAAAAACAGGTCTGTTTGTTTGTTTTTAGAGAGAAGAGAGGGGAAAAGAGTCTCAAGCAGACTCCATGCCCAGTGTGGAGCCCAATGCAAGGACGGCTCTCATGACACTGAGACCATGACCTGGGCCAAAATCAAGTCAGATGGCAGGGTTTGCCTGGGTGGCTCAGTGGGTTAAGCCTCTGCCTTCTGCATCGCCATCAGGCTCTCTGCTCAGAAGGGAGCCTGCTTCTCCCTCTCCCACTTATAGCCTGCCCCCACCCCCAGGGTCAAATAAATAAAATCTAAAAATAAAAAAAAGAACAAGAGAACTGAACCTGTCTATATTTAAATTTTATTTCCCTATGGCTGCAGCAATGGTGACAATCTACCTGCATTTTACACTAGGAACAGCAGTTCTCAGAACTTTCCAAAGTTCTAAACATTAAACATCTGAAAAACTCTACTATGTAATTAAATAGCATCAGGAAATAGAACATAGGAGGGTTTACTTTTAAAGGGGCACTTCCACTCAGTTTTTCCAGCTGCTACCCAACACCCTAATCAGGGAATGGGCTAAGATGGTTGGACAACACCTTTATTCAGATTTCATTTACTTATTTATTTAGAAAGAACACACGTGTGTGAGCACAGGGAAGAGCAGTAGGACAGGAAGACAGAATCTCAAGCAGACTCCATGCCCAGTGCAGAGCCCAATGCACTGGGACCCTAAGATCAGGACCTGAGATGAATTCAAGAGACAAATGCTTAACCCAACTGGACCACCCTGATCATGGTTGTGAGATGCATCCATATAATAAAAAAGTAAGACAGAGTATCAAGACATGGGGCACCTGGGTGGCTCAGTCGATAAGCGTCTGCCTTCAGCTTGGGTCATGATCCCAGGGTCCTGGGATCAAGCCCTGCATCCAGGTTCCCTGATCACTGGGAAGCCTGATTCTCCCTCTCCCGCTCCCCCTGCTTGTGTCCCCTTTTTCTCGCTGTTGTTTCTCTCGGTCAAATAAACACACAAATAAAATCTGTGTTAATAAAAAAAAAAAGTATCGGGGCACCTAGGTGGCTCAGTGGGTTAAAGGCTCTGCCTTTGGCTCCTGAGTCATTGTCCCAGCGTCCTGGGATTGAGCCCCGCGCATCAGGCTCTCTACTCAGAGACCTGCATCCTCCTCTCTCTCTTTCTACCTACTTCTGTGCCTATTTGTGATCTCTGTCTGTCAAATAAATAATTTTAAAAATAAAATAAAATTCATTTATAAAAAAAAAAAAAAGAGTATCAAGACACTTGCATTCAACGGCCAGAAATATCACAAAAAGTATTACAGACCAAAAAAACCTCATAATGCGGTCATAAATTTCAATCTCGTGGATACCAGCTATACAAATTAACTATATTCACGGTAAGAGAAAACTGGCTAAGCAAGCATCAACATTTGGTATACATGGCTACTGAAGGCAAACTATTTTAAACCATTCGAAAAAAGAACCAAGCACCCTTTACCACCATCAATAACTAATGAAGTATTACTATAGTACTTTGGTCTAAAACCTTAAAGTCATTCAATCAATCAAATTTTAAATCATAATGTTAACAATAGTAATTGCTTACCGTAATAAATCCATATCCCTTAGATCGACCTGTTTCACTATCCATCATGAGTTGGATACTTTCAATCTAAAAAATAAAAACAATTATTATGTAACTGCAAAGGAGGAATCAAAGCATTTTATTCCTTGAAACGTGATTTTAAAGTCCCCCCCTCACCAAACAAAAACAAATCATCTCAACCCATCTCCAAAAGTACTTCTGAAAACCTAGATGCTTCTCAAACAAGAAGTTAGGCACTGCGGAATAAAAAGTACAATCTTCTGCCTCAAAAACAAACCACTGGGGCGCCTGGGTGGCTCAGTGGGTTAAAGCCTCTGCCTCCAGCTCAGGTCATGATCCCAGGGTCCTGGGATAGAGCCCCACATGGGGCTCTCTGCTCAGCAGGGAGCCCGCTTCCTCCTCCTCTCTCTCTGCTTACCTTTCTGCCTACTTGTGATATCTGTCTGTTAAAAAAAAAACAACACCACCACTAAAAACCAGAAGTCCTTTGTAAACTACAATCAGGTGTTAGAAATTAACATTTTGTTTTCTTTCCATTATGCTAAAAACACAAATTCCCACTAGTATCAGACATGACAAATTGTCCAAGATGTTGGAATAACTAAAACAGGGGCACCTGGCTGGCTCAGTCAATAGCCCATGAGATTCATGGTCTCATGGTTTTGAGTTCAAGTCACACAGTGAGTGTAAACATTACTTAAAAATCTTGGGACACATGGGTGACTCAATCTGTTAAGCATCTGCCTTTGGCTCTGGTCATGATCCCACCCCTGAGTCCTGGGATGGAGTCCCACAGACTCCTTGCTCAGGGGGAGCATAATTCTCCCTCAGCCTGCCATTCTCCCAGCTTGTGTGCATGCACACTCTCTGACAAATACAAAATTCAAGAGAGACAAAATAAAAAAATAAAAATCTTACAAACAGGGACACCTGGGTGGCAGTTACATGCCTGACTCTTGGGATTCAGCTCAGCTCATGATTTCATGATTTCGAGATCAAGCCCTGCGTCATACTCCACACTCAATCTGCTTGAAACTATCTCCTCTGTCCCCAACCCTGCTTCTCCCAAATAAATCAATCTTTTAAAAAATCTTAAGAATAAAATCAACCCTGAATGTAGATGATCACTGCACAACTCTGGGTAGCCATTTAAAAGGCAATGAATTGTTCACTTGAAGCAGGTGAAGTACATGGTTTGTGTACACCACAGTATCTCCATATAGCTGTTCATACACAGCACAAAAAATTAAAATACAGCATGGATGTACTCTATTTCTTCATGTCCGGTAATTTCAGGAATGCATTAACTTTGCAGTCACTGACCAGAAAAAAAAAAAGATTTGTATGAGAAGTGTGTGCACATTTCTAATTTAATAAAAAGCCCACACTCAACACCCAACTTTTACCATTACGCACTCTTTAAACAGTTTAACAAAGGGGCTGAATGGAAATAGTGAAAAAGTATTATCCAAGGAAAATGAAAATTAGTAGTGGATGCAGTATTAACAGTTACCAACATTTTTATTCACGGCCACATAATGAATATTTTAAACTACAGTACAACCTACTGTTATTAACATTTATTCTAAAATAAAATGTCATGATAAAATGAGGACCAACTGAAGAGGAACAGTCTAACTACTTAATTGAGTAGATAGAAAAAAGGTTCTGTACATACCCCTTAATGTTCCGTAAGGCCAAAAAACAAGCATCCGAGGAACATCAACAGAGGGTGCCTAGGTTGCTCAGTCAGAACATCATGCAACTCTTGATCTTGGGGCCATGAGTTTGGGCACCCACATTAGTAAGCTAGATTGTACTTAAAAAACCAAAAACCGGGGCGCCTGGGTGGCTCAGTGGGTTAAAGCCTCTGCCTTCGCTCAGGTCGTGATCCCAGGGTCCTGGGATCGAGCCCCACATCGGGCTGTGCTCGGCAGGGAGCCTGCTTCCCTTCCTCTCTCTCTGCCTGCTTCTCTGTCTACTTGTGATCTCGGTCAAATAAATAAATAAAACTTAAAAAAAAAAAAAACAAAAAAAAAAAAACCAAAAAAAAAACCCTCCCCCGAAGACCCAACCAAGGAAAACAAAATCTCTCGTTCCAAATGCACGGAGACTCTCATCACTCATGTTGACTTGAAAAAAAAAATGATGCTTCTAATACTCTACGCGTTTCACTGCAGCATTATGAATGACGACACTAAAAGATTCTTGATCTTCAAATGTCACCCTTCTTTCAGAGATACTACCTTAATCTAAGATGCCACAAACCCTCTCAGAAGCACTCTTTCCCATCTTACTATTAACCTTATTAAAACATGCCGAAGTAGATACACAGAATTATTATGCAGTTATATTGTAAGAAGAACCTATTAAGGATCATTGAAGATAATGGGACTTACCCTTCCAAAAGGCTCAAAGATTCCCCGAAGCATATCTTCAGTTATGTTAAAGTGTAACGAGCCCACATAAAGCCTCATAGGTCCAGCACTTCCCTTTTGTAGATTGTTCGCCATTGCTGCAGCTCTGTTTTTTTCTGCCTGCAAGTTAGATAAGACAAAATGCACATCACAGAGCACTAATCCAAATCATTTCTTTAGAGATTTTATTTGACAGAAAGAGAGGGAATACAAGCAGGGAAAGAAGGAGAGTGAGAAGCAGGCTTCCCACTGAGGAGGGAGCCCAATGTGGGGCTTAATCCCAGGATGCTGGGATAATGACCTGAGCCAAAGGCAGACGCTTAACAACTGAGCCACCCAAGCACCCCTCAAATCTTTTTTTTTTTTTTAAGATTTTATTTATTTTTTTGACAGAGAGAGAGAGATCACAAGTAGGCAGAGAAGCAGGCAGAGGGCGAGGGGGAAGCAGGCCCCCTGCTGAGCAGAGAGCAGGATTTGGGGCTCAATCCCAGGACCCTGGGAGCATGACCTGAGCTGAAAGCAGAGGCTTAACCCATTGAGCCACCCAGGCGCCATTTTTTTTTTTTTTTAAGATTTTATTTATTTGACAGAGACACAGTGAGAGAGGGAAAACAGCAGGTAGAGTGGGAGAGGAAAAAGCAGGCTTTTCGCCAAGCAGGGAGCCCAATGCGGGGCTCAGTCCCAGGACCCCAAGATCATGACCAGAGCTGCAGGCAGACGCTTAACGACTGAGCCACCCAGGTCCCCCTAATCCAAATCATTTTCATCATAGTAAAATCCTATTCATTTTAAGTTTGCTTAATGACAAGTAATATCAAAGGCTAGTAATGAAAGTACACTAAGTTTACTAAGTCATACACAGGACAAATACTCCCATTTACATGTGACTGATTAATGGCACTAAATTAAAATTTTAAGAAAATGGTTCAAATGCCAATTTTCTAAACAAAATCTTCAGTATTTTATCCAGCTTAAGATACATATTTTGCCACAATAAAAACTTAGAAGTTTTACAAGCATTAAGTCCTATATAAAGCAATCATACACTCCATTTCATATGTAAAATGAAATCAATCCTGAAGTACACTATGCCGTCTAAATGAGATGCATCCTGATATCAGACATACTAAATGCGGAAAATAAGACTGTCTCACGGAATTCATTGTTCATCAAAATTAATGTATTCTCAAAATCATTGTTACTCAAAGTACAGTACACACCAACTGGCTGACTGCCATAAAAGGGCTTTTTTGTCAATATAAAATCACATCGAGCAAAGCATTCAGTTTAGCTGTTATTTTTTTCCAAAGGAAGTCTCTCTCAAAGGTAATGGTTATCAATTCATATTCTACAAGTTTCCTTTCATATTAACAGACTGAGGAATTTTGAGTATCAATGTCCTAGAGATTAAAGTTAAATCAACTCAAAACCTCATTTTAGGGGCGCCTGGGTGGCTCAGCAGGTTAAAGCCTGTCTTTGGCTCAGGTCGTGATCCCAGGGTCCTGGGATGGAGCCCCACATTGGGGGAAGGGGTCGTCTCCGCTCAGCAGGGAGCCTGCTTCCTCCTCTCTGCCCGCCTCTCTGCCTACTTGTGATCTCTGTCAAATAAATAAATAAAATCTTAAAAAAAAAAAAAAAACCCTCATTTTAATCTGAGGACTCTAGCCCTCTTCATGACAATCTACACACCATTTAATTTGTTATCCAGGGGAGCCTGGTGGCTCAGTTGTTAAACGTCTGCCTTTGGCTCAGGTCATGATCCCAGGGTCCTGGGATCAAGCTGCATTATCGGGCTCCCTGCTGAGAGGGAAGTCTCTTCTCCCTCTCCCACTTCCCCTGCTGTGTTCCCCCCCACTGTGTCTCTCTGTGTCAAATAGATAAATAAAATCTAAAATAAATAAGTAAAAATAAACAAATTTGTCCTCCATCGCAGGAAATGACTCAAGGAACTAATTTTTCCCATTTCCTAACAATTATTTTCTCACTGTTATAATACCTAATATTAAGTGTTTCTAAAACACTAAACAGAACCTATTATCTTTTAGATATGACAAAAGATACAAACTTGACCAATGTTACATACAGCTTATTAACAGTGAGTAAAACTGGAATTTCAAGTCAGATCTGGTTCCAAGGCTTGTGCATAACTTTAGAATATGAAAATTTGATGAAGTAACCAGATTATCTTAAGAGTTACAGATTACTTATTTCAGTGGTTTGGAAAGCTATCAAAATGACTGTTTTATTATGTGTTGCTCGAAAATATTCTTTAAATCCTATAATCACCATTAAAAAACACCTGAGCTACAGATGTTTGTAAGCAGTGACAAATTATCAATAATGGCATCCTAAAAATGCTTTCATGTAATAAAACAATACATCTCAGTTTTTCCACATTTAAACACACTAATGTTACTAACGCTAATTTTATTTCCCGAAGGCAATATTGGATTACTATAAAGTACAAGCAAAGAGGAATTAAACAGAAGAAATTTTAAATAGAAAACATTCACAAGATTAGTTTAAAACATTTTACCTTTAAAAAATGGTAGAAATAATAGCTGCTCAAACTACTCTTAACGCTTTACAAAATCTCACACAAGTGTGTATTAAAAAACACTGAAAATACTAAATTTATTAAAAATGTCAAAATCATTCCATTTGAAAGAAAGGGTAAATGTGTTTTTAAATGTTTTTCTATCCCCAACTAATAAATTATCACAAATCAAAAAAAATCTACACCATGTTCTCATGTCTTTTCATGAAATAGGTATTAAAACAGGATGTTATGGGACGCCTGGGTGGCTCAGGTGGTTAAGCAGCTGCCTTTGGCTCAGGTCATGATCCCAGCGTCCTGGGATTGAGTCCCACGTCCTGGGATTGAGTCCCACACGTCCTGGGATTGAGTCCCACATCGGGCTCCTTGCTCGGCAGGGAGCCTGCTTCTCCCTCTGCCTCTGCCTGCCTCTCTGTCTGCTTGTGCTCGCTCGCTCTCTCTCCCTCTGTCCCTGACAAGTAAATAAATAAAATCTTAAAAAAAAAAAAAAAAAAAAAGGATGTTGTTGAGAATTTATGATTATCAAAGTAACCAAAACAAAGTTTAAGGGAAAAAAAGCTGTTCTGAAAACATCTAACTCAAATAATTAATGATTATGCACACTATAATGTAATACTAAGCAACAGCAGGTTTCTAACACGATTGTTAATCAAATTCCTAACCAAGCAAATGATTACCTGTGATGCTTGTACTATGATTGGCACTCCTAAAACACGTTGGCCAGTTAATCCTATTGCTAGAGGCACTGAGCTAACATCAACAAACTCCACATATGCAATTCCTTTGGAACGTCTTGAATTTCTATCAGAAATCATTCTCACATCTCGAACCTAAAAACAAAACACACACTTAACATAAGTTTCTGTTTATGCAACCATCCACTGTAAACCATTTAAAAAAAAATTTTTTTTTTTACAGATCATGTCGTTTAAATTTACTTTTAAGTAATCTCTACACCCACAGTGGGGCCATGAACTTGTGACCAGAGATTAAGAGTTGCATGTTCCAAATGAACTAGCCAGGTGCCCCTCAATGTTTTAACTAAGGGAACATGTCAGTCCACTTCTTTTTTTTTTTTCTACTTTTGATCAATGTGTGATAATAGTTATTAATTCCAACAGTATTAAATTACAATGGAGGCGAAACAGAAATGTTCCCCAAAAGTTTCCCTAACTGAATTCTACTAAATTAAAAGATTCGATGTTTAAATATTCTCTAATTTAACCTAACACACTGACAATTATTAAATTTTGTTCACAACTCCCATTTATTCAACCTCCCTAAACAGACTAAAAACTTACCTTTCCTACTGTAGAGAAAAACTCTTCCAAATCCCTTGGCCGAATTCTTGCTGCCAGCTGCATGCAGAAAACTGTCCTTGCATCTCTTTCTTCAGGAGTTAGATTATCAATAGGTTCCCTAACAGGAATTAAAAAACAATGCATTTTATAAATTATTCTAAAAATAACCTTATGATTTTCAATGAACAGAATAAACTTTGCAAGTAACTTATCATTATTCCCAAACCCATTTTCTTCTTTTAAGATTTCATTCATTTATCTGAGAGTGAGGAAGAGAGAGCGAGCATGCACAAGCAGGGTAAGAGGCAGAGGGAGTGAGCAGACTCCCCATCCCCTACTGAGGAGGTGGGATCACGACCTGAGTGGGAGAAACAACTGCTTCAGGCACCTGAGGCACCCAGGTGTCCCTTGCAAACCCATTTTCACTAAGATTTATACAAAATATCCATAAAATAGTTCAATGTGACTCAATTCCTTCAACAAGATAACTACTAATGTTTCTTCTGCTAGCATCTTACATGACATCAGAACAAAAGTCCATTCTCAAGTTCTCAAATATGGTAATTTCTCCAGATTAGTAAAAAACCAATCCGAAGCCTTAGAGCTTAAGAAAAGTCTTTAACCACCTACTAGCTACAATGTCAGAATGGTCCAAAACCATAAAACCATGAAGTGAAATAAAGTTTGACAATCATAAACAACTAACCTGAGATGATAAGAACTATTTTATTCTGGTTTTTCCCCTGAATTTTTATTTAACAAATTGAGACAGATATATAGAGTCATGACCTGGTTGCTTATTCTATCAGTCTTTTTTTTTTTTTTAAGATTTTATTTATTTGAGAGAGAGAGAGACATCACAAGAGAACACAAGCAGAGGTACTGGGAGAAGGAGAAGCAAGCTTCCCTCCAAGCAGGGAGCCCAAGAAGGGGCTTGATCCCAGCACCCTGGGATCATGACCTGAGCCAAAGGCAGAAGCTTAACAACTGAGCCACCCAGGTGCCCCTATTCGCATCAGTCTTCTAAGCCTCTATAAACCCAGTATACAAAGCAATATTTCTTTTTATTTTTTTTAAGATTTTATTTATTTGACAGATCACAAGCAGGCAGAGGCAGGCAGAGAAAGAGGAGGAAGCAGGTTCCCTGCTGAGCAGAGAGCCAGATGTGGAGCTTGATCCCAGGACCCTGAGATCATGACCTGAGCCAAAGGCAGAGGCTTAACCCACTGAACCACCCAGGCACCCCCAAAGCAATGTTTCTTGATGGTTATAAAATACAGAAACCATACCCATACACAAACCAAATATGAAAAGCAGGAAATTAAATAAATACAAGTAGTGGAATTCAATTTATTCATTTTTACAGATAGCCTTGACAATCAAGAGCACTTCTAACTATATGGAGGAAATTAAAGTGCCCTAGTAAAAGAGCACAAGAGATCAAATTATATGAATTTCAAGGAAAAAAAAGAAGTGCCTATTATTATTATTATAAAACATCACTAAAGGTTAAGGTTCTAAGTGAATCGCTAAAGATAAAAGCACAAACATGCTCTTATCCACATTCTGGACATTTTCAAGAAGGTACTTTTAAAGTATTCTACCTACAAAATTCTGGTACATTTCTTTGGTAAATTAACAAGTAATTTTAAACTATAAAACAGAGGTACAAAGCTAGACTACATCCAAAGAACGAGAAAAGAGGATTTTCTTTTCTTTTCAGATTTTATTTATTTATTTGGCAGAGGGAAATCACAAGTAGGCAAAGAAGCAGGCAAAGAGAGAGGAGGAAGCAGGCTCCCTGCTGAGCAGAGAGGGCTTGATCCCAGGACCCTGAGATCATGCAGAGCGCCGGAATTCCGGCAGAGGCTTTAACCCACCAAGCCACCCATGCGCCCCAAAAGGGGATTTTCTTACAAGAGTAAGTATTAAAGAGTTAAAAAAAAAAAAAAAAAAAAAAAAAAAAAAGCTCAGTACGTACAAAAAGAGCTTTTAAAATCATTAAGGTTTTCATCAAATCTTAGAATTAGAATATACCAAGCAACAAATATAACAGATAATGAACTCTAAGTTAAAAGGTGCCCTTTAAGGGAAGCCAGAAAGAATATCAGTGTTGCCATTTATCAAAATTTTCCTTGAATGAAAATAAATGATAGACTTAGTAAGTAAGTCTCATTTCATTTAAGAAGAAAATAACTCACAAACATACGATTACTACTACTCAGAAACAAGTCAACTTGGTTAAGACTTTGGAAATTACTTTATCTCAGTAGAGTCAGATTAGTGAAACTCAAGTCTGTTACAACCAATTTCCCATGACGCAATTTTAGTAACTCAAAATTTATTAATTCCAAAGATAAGCAGAGGCAAGTCTATTTCAAGTTTCTATAGTTACCATTAACTTTTATTTAAAAGGGATTTAAGAGGGCGCCTGGGTGGCTCAGTGGATTAAGCCGCTGCCTTCGGCTCAGGTCATGATCTCAGGGTCCTGGGATCGAGCCCCGCATCAGGCTCTCTGCTCAGCAGGGAGCCTGCTTCCCTCTCTCTCTCTCTGCCTGCCTCTCTGTCTACTTGTGATCTCTGTCTGTCAAATAAATAAATAAAATCTTTAAAAAAAAAAAAAGGGGATTTAAGAGCACATGTAATACCACCTCGTATCCTAAAACTATAATTACTACTACTCCATTCTTATAGGAAACTAAAATGAAAACTTACACAACCACACTGATTTAACACAGTCCAAACTATTAAACTATTAAATCTTAATAAATTTAATAGCAGCATAAGTTGCAAAAGCTTTATAAAAGCTGAAAGTGCCAAAGGAAAAAAAAATAGGGACAACAGCTACCTCACAGGGCTCTTGTCTTTTCTGAATGGACTTTTGCTTCGGGAACGTCGTCTGCTGCAAAGTTAAAAAGTTTCAGAAATTACCCAAACAAGTACACCACATTAGTTCCTTGAAAAACAATTTAAACAATTCAGAAGTATGTTTAAAAACCTTAATTTGATGCTATGAGGCAACCCAATCTTTCCTCGGATGGCACTGTTAAATTTTGGTCCGGAGCTAAAAAGGAAACACAAAATTACACTAGTTACAGGGTTAGGGTCTTGCTAAGATCGCGTTCATGCGCTCTCCAGCAAGTTTAACATTGTTTAGGCTGATTTTTTTTTCCACCTCAATTATGAAGAGGAAATAAGAGACTTTTCTTAACTTTATCCCAGGCAACTGCTCTTATAGTTATCCATCCTGGACCACTGAGAGGTGCCAAGACCAAAGGTTACAGCCTCAATATTTTTCAGATCCTGAAAATTCTATCATTTTCAGTCTACCATTTTTTCTTAATTACACATTTATGAATACATTCCTGAGGTGTTCTTTTTTTTTTTTTTTAAGTGAAAATAAATCTTATTTACAAGGAGTAATACAGTTAACAATTTTGTATGAATCTTTGCAGATCCGTTCCCAGGAATTTATGTATTTATACATACATATACACAAAATTCATAAATACGTTTCTTGTTTGAGAAATTACTGAAGAGAGACTAAACTCCAACTTTTCCATTTAACATTAAATCTCAGAGACTGCATGAAAGCAGTTTGTGTCATACTTCACTTCTTTGTGACAAAATATTCCATAGTAAAGATGTGAAGTTCATTGGGATTTCAAAAAAAACTTTGTGAACTTGACATAATAAAGGAATGTTTTCAAAAGAGATCATAAAATTATTCTAAGATCCAGTTTTATTCTGAATTCTAAAAAGGCCTTATAGTTTTAGGACCTTTATTTTAATTTTGAAAGACCAAATTAACTTAAAGGGACAAGTCGTATGTCCCTTAGTGCTCATCCTACTCTCCTTTTCAAGGGTAGCAAAATCGAAGTACCTAGTGGTATGTTATCCACATTTGGACTTGTTTTCATTGACTCTAGGCATACCTGAAACACCCAAGCAGCTCCAAATAAAATTTTATATTAAATGGGTCCTTCACAATTCAAACTAACAGTCACAGTTAAGAATATAAATTTACTGACTAAATTAAAGATCACATGAAACCAGACATAAGAACTAAATCATTTTTTAAGTCAGACCAGGATTACAGGCCGACTTCAAATATTCATTACTAAAACAGATACATAATACACAGAATTTATTAAGGTAATCCCTTCCCCCCTATTTAATTCTGATAAAAACAAATATGGTAAATCTTAATAAATTCAACCAAGAAAGAATCATTCGGAATTAAAACATTGTGGTACTCTTTCAGCTCTTAAATGTTTGTGAAATAAGCAGCTAGGAAGAACTCGAGAACAAGGAGTTCAATCCTTTTTATTTTAAAGGTTAAAGAGCCAGAATCAGAACCCAAAATGTTACTAAATTTAATGGCTTCAAATAATACCCAAACATTTCATGAATAGCAGTTAAGTATTGTGCATCCTTTATTTTCATTCTCTTGTCAATTCAATACTCATTGAGGTTCATCTGTCAGTCGTTACCTTTCTTAAAAAATGAGAAAACTAATACTTAGAGCGTTAACTTGTCCAAGTCAAAGAGTCAAAACTCTCATTCAAGTCTTTGTCTTTCAATTCCATCTCCACCCATTCAACTTAGAGTCCTTACTTTTAATACATTCCCCCCCAGTTTATAGTAGTATATTCATTAAGACAAAAGAATAAAGGTAAAGGGCTAAGGACTGCTAGATTCAATCCTTGTGTTAAGAGTTGTAGGTAGATTCCTTCCAAAGTTATTAACATAGTTTTTTAAATGACTATAATAAACCACGTTTCCAACTTGTTAAACTACAATCAAATTTCCATAGGGATTTCAAAGCACTTTGAGTGTTTTACTCATTTTAAAAACCTCGAATACAATGTGATGAGCCCCCAAATTCATCATTATCAAGGAGCATGCACCAGATTCACAAAGGATCTGTCATTTCAGCTGGAAACAGCCAGAAAAGATTCATAAATTACATATTTGACTGATCATATGTATTAGTAATTTATCTATTTGAGCTTTAAAATTTTAAATAAATTTATGTTCAGCAAAGAGTATTTGAAATCGCTCACATACGTTTAAGCTTTCAAATTTTGGCACTACAGTATCAAGTCTTTTAAAGCATTCTAGTGCTTTGGTCTAGTTCGGATTGGCATACAGTTAAAATATTTTGAACAGAGTAACAGAAAATAATCTGTATGCCTAGTAAAACAAAAGTTATGTATTGGCCCATGTGCTGTTTTTCTCTGTCTTTTCAACGCCAATATCTTTATTTAATGCTTCTTAACTAGACATATTGAAAACCAAAAATTTTATAATGTACATTACTCAGATTGTTTTCTGGATACCTAGAGAATGACTCTCAAACCAAAATCATCAAATTATAGTTACATACTAAGGACTTCTGTAGCGGCCTCTGAATCTGCGATCTCGACTTCTTGAGCGGCTCCGCCTCCTTTCTTTGCTCCTACTTCGCTTCCTTTCACGGCTTTTGCTCTTTTTCCTTTCTCTATCTCTACTTCGTTTCCGTTCCTTACTTTTGCTTCTTTTCCGTTCATGACTACGACTTCTGCTCTTGCTTTTTTTCCTCCTGAGAAGAAAAAAAATTACCATTATCTTTCTGGTTTGAGAAACTGCCCAAATATACTTCCTCTTATGGTCAGAAATCTTAATCTTTCTGTAAATTTATCTTGCTATTTTTACTATTATACAATGATACATAATCATACTTATGGAAAAAATAATTCCTAGGTAAGGCAAAATTTGTCTTCTACTACTGAAAATCAGAAGTCAGTTGACAATCAGTTGACAGCAGGAATTCTAATGATTGCTCCTGAGAGTCAGGTACAGCTTTAACAAGGAAATCATTTGCTGAAACCTGAACTTTTAAATAAACTTTGACCAACATGTAACTGGCCAACAAGTATTACTGTAATCCACTAGATACAGTAATAAAATCAAAGTTACAATAAAATATTAAGTAACAATGGGTCATTCATAAAAAATTATTAAAAACACTTTAACTTCCTTTATGTGAGCCAATTTTGACCCTATTTACACGTATGAGTATTTTCTACTTGAAAGGGCCATACAAGCATCAATACTTTGGTTTTCATGGGCAAACTTACAAGTACTGACAAAGAACAATGCAACTAATGCAATAAAATGCATTCTGACACACCTAGACTTTTGTGACCTTTTTGGATATGTTCTATTTAAAGCTATAATGAATACACCAGAAAATGGAGCATGCCAGTTTATACAAGCCTGTGGGGTGCAATCAAAAACAAGGATCAACACCTTTAATCAATCTTTATAAAATCTCAAACTCTGAAAGGTAAAAAAGCCAGTCAGTCATATCTTTCTGTTCACTTCTGTATTCTTCACAGTATACCACCCGTTCATTTTGTAATTAAATCTTACCATCTGTACCTCTTTGTCATCACCCAAATTTTAGAGGTGCCTTCAGATATTTCAGTATAAATTCAAAGACATTTAAAAATAAACTTATTCTGCTAAAATGTCAATTTGTAGTGGCTAAAAAGATAATTAAACATTTTGACAACTCTATTATCATTTGGAAAATTTAATTAAACTGTTTAGTCCTTATCAAAGCAAAGTTAGCATAAGAGCAATTGAAGTCTGCCTCAGAGAACCTGTAAGCAGGTCATCTTAGAGTGCATTGAAAATAGAAAATGAAGACACCCACCTTCTGGAATCTTGAAACCCACACTCCAATCACAAGGAGATGTAGAGCTTTCCAAGGAGGCAGAAACTTTGTCTAAAATTTCAAGATAATTCACCTGACTGTCAGAAATGTATATGCTAGGTAGCACATGACAGAAAATTAGGCTACACTCATTATTTATATAGAAGTCATCAAAGCAATGCCCAAAAGGGCAACAGATTACATTCCAACTTTGTTGCCTGCAACACCTGACACTGTTTTAGCCTAAGAATTCTGTGAGATAGCTATCATCAAAAGTCCTACATATAATCAATCAGGGGACAAAGTAAAAAGTAACTCCATCCCCCACAAAAAGGACAGACAAGTAAAGTATTGCTCTGCTCATAGACGGTCCACAGCAGAGAGGCAGCCAACCTCCCAATCTATGTCTTTTTAGGCCCAAAACTTATTCTGCCAAAGGAAAGGACTGGAAAATTGGAGAGCTAACTTCAACTAAAAGTCTTCCTGGAACTTTGTACAAATGAGTCCCCACCCACATCTGAAGGCAACCCCAGACAGGTAAAAAGACAGCAACATACTAAGACATTCAGAAGCATGATCCTCTTCATAAAAGCCCAGACAAAAAAAAATTAAGAAAGCAACATACTTCTCTATAACAAATTGCAGCTTGAAAGAACATTAAGTTAACTAAAGAAGGGTTATCAAAATCCACACTAATAGTCAAATCCTGTTACAACTTAAAAGGGACTTTCCAAAGTCTTTAGTGGCAGTGGAATTTTGTACTGAACATCATTGAAGTAAATGGTCCACTGGGCTGGGCCTTTGGACTTTTTGGTTATATGGCCTCTGCTGTAAAGGTGTTTTGCTATAACTGGATTTGACCTCTTCCATGTAAGAAGATCTAAAATTTAAATGCAAAGTACTCTGGAAAATAAGAAAAAAAATAGAAAAGTCATTTATTCCAAAATTTATAGATAATCCACACACAGTAGCCAATATATTTCAACTGTGTCATTTTATTGTTATCCTTTTGAGTAATTCCTAAAGAGCTTAACTGAATGGATGCTACTTTAGACTTTCCGAAAATGGTTACACTAACAAATAATATTCCCATGAAGGCAAGCTCAGATACTTAAAAGGTGTACTTTGAGTTCTTGCCAAACTCAGGGGTACAGCTCTTCAGAAAGTAGGCTAACTGATAACCAATTTATATTAAACTTAGTTCCTTCTACTACTACCAGAATAAAACTGAGTGTAGGTATTGAAAATCAGAACTATTTTTTTGAAAGAAAACATTTATTAGTTGGTCAACTTTCAATTCCTCAGGTTGTACATTTTTTCTTAAAACTATATCCCAACACTCAATTGTTTTTAAGACAATGAAGTTTTAGGATGAAAAATGCAACATGGCACTTTCCTTTAGGAGAATTTATGCAGAACACTAATGCGCAGAACACTGTCATTTTACATTTTATCTAAACTTAAATATGAAAATTTATTTCTACATAACTTTTTTTTTTAAATTTCTACATAACTTTAAAATAAATTTGAAAGCTCAATTCCCTTCAGAGAAATGGGTGAGAAGTTCCTGATTGAACTAAAAAGCCATTTATTTAAGCAGTTTTAGCAGAGAGTGAGAAATATGACAAACAATTTGTACATTTAAAACGATACTAGGTAGTAATTGGGATATTTCAAAAGGACGTTCCCTTATATTGGCTACCCTACAGCCAATCAAAGAAAATTATCCATTCTTCTATTCAGTATCATAAGACTCTACGTTAAATAAAGGCCACAAAGCATCAGTCATGGAGACCTTGATGCTGAATTTCCTGTAAAAGCTTGGTAGCCTTAAATGAGTTTAGATGCACAATGAAAATAAATACGAACTGGAGATCAAGTTAGTAGCAAGGAGTGACATCTGAGAATGGTCAAACAAAGAAAACTCTGTGACCGAAGTGCAAGTCCTCATCCTTTTGGCACTTAGGGTAAGATCTTTACCTACCCAATAGGCCTGATACCTAGATTGGATTAATTTCAATTTATGTGGATAGTCCTTTCTAGGTTTTCATTACAAACTGGGAATTAAAACTATTAATTAGGAAACTGTTACTTTGGGAAAACGTCTAAAACCAGGTGACATTAAACAATGCAATAATTGGCTGACTGCCTTAAATTGTAACAATTCAAGACTAAACCCAATGTGATTAATTTCCGCAATCTGTTATGATTGTAACAGACCCTCTACCCAACTTTGAACCAAAAAAACAAACAAACAAAAAAACCGACATTTTCTGCAAACTGCATCATTTTAAATCCGTTACATTTTTTATGGGAATTGTTAAGAATAAAATAATCAGCATAACAAAGCCTACATAATCCAATTTAAGAATTTTCTCATCTCTTTTGTGAAATTCTATCAACCTACCTAATAAAAGTTGTTGTGAGGAATTTGAGGTAGTGTATTATGAAGCATTTTGAGCTCTTACTAGGAAAAGAGCCAGAAAATCAAATAAGGGACTATGGTATCATTTTCCATTAGATGGAGTCATGTACATTACAAATTAATGACATCACAAAATAGGCTACTGAAACAACTTGAAGCTTATAACATGACCACGTGATGTTAAGAGTCACTAATTTTTAGAGCAGAAAGAATACTCCAAAAATAGGATCCAACTTTATAAAGCGGTTCTGGTTTATGCTGTCACTGAAACATCATATACTGTATTCTAGTCTATAGCACTTAGTTACTATTACAGGTTACTCATTTAACATAGTAAATTGCATTAATATGCACAAATTTTTAAAAAAAACTCCATTTCCACTATTCAAGTAATAAAGTTTTAAAAGCTTAAGCAACAAAAGCCATGTAAAAGGCACCTAAAAAGTACTTAAATATGCTGTAATGTTGCTACAAAAAAGGGCCTTTAAGCAGCAAGATGCATAAATAATTCACAGCTCTGACTCCTTTAAAACAAACAATGTTTTCCACAGGCCGGTTATTTGTTACTTTTTCTTCTTCCTAACCCATCTTCAGTGGATATGGAAGTTTTATGGATATACCACCAAAACATTAAGCCCGAGTTTATAAATTTAAGACAAAGACAAACTCTAATACGGAACTCTTATCCAGATTGTCGTGGATAGACTGGGAGGGGAAGGTGTCCAAAAAGATCCCTGAAACTATATCCTGAAATCTAGGGAAAGAATCCATAGCTTCATATCCTCAAATAGTTTCTCATCCCTTCAGAAGGTAAAGAACGACTTCTCTAAGAGAGACAAGGAAAAGCTTCTGAAGAGAACTTTGTTTGATGCTACAGCCACAGGAACACAACTTAAGATCTCAATCATATAAAGGTCCCCCCACCCCAGGTCCCTTCTTATAACTTACTTTTTGCTACGTTCTTCATGGCCGTTAGCACTGCTCAACTTGTTCTCATCCTAAGCAGGGTTGATAGAAGAACATCATGAGGACGAAGTGGTAACATTTCAAGTTGTCAAAGGGTAAAGGGAATAGGAATAAGAAAATACAAAACAATTTTAAAACTAATTACTTGCTTATAGTTTAACATGGAAGGCTATAAAAAAATTTAGATGGGTACGTGTTTAACCACTTTGTTGCTTACAATTAAGTCATCAAGATACAAAAATAAAAATGCATATTAACATGTTAAATTTTACTTTCTTATATAGTTAGATATTAACTTATCCACATTTACAGTTGTTGAAGTGGTTAAATAGAATTTCTAGAAAACATTAATGAAGTCCTGTTTTGAGTTTTATTCCATGTGCTATGGTCCCTTTGGTCAGTACCATGGCTCTATTTCTGCCTAAGCCCCAAGTGGCCATGCTAGCAGCCAGCCACTATCGATTTCCTGTGACCGATGCCATTCCTGAGATCTTCGCCCATTTCCGTTGGAGGGTTGGGACTGTAAGAGCTTGATGCCACCTCTGTCACACATCTCGCCCTGAAGCAAACAGGGATTCACACTGCTTTAGTAATGTTGACTCCCAAGAACCCAAGAAAGTCAATTAATAATCCACCAGTCCAACCTAAACATTTCCTACTTCCATACCTGTTTACATGGAATTACATCCATGTTAAACTAAGACACAAGAATCTTAACATTAAAACAGAAAGTAGTTCTTCAAGAGTCTAAGCATTATAAAACTACATACACTATTTAAAGCTAAAAAGAATTCATCCAAACTGGTACCACATGGTCGTGCTATACACTCCAAAACAGATGTATTATTTTAAAAGGTTTAGTGCAATGTTTGTTTTTTAAAGTTTGATCACATCAGTTATAGAAGTGCTAACTTACAAAGCTTACAGTTTGCGACACCAGTGATAATGCATGCATACTGCTATTTTCACCACCAACTGGTGAAAGAATGAAAAGACACTTTACTTTTACTGTGATACTGAAATGGGTCAGACTATACTACTAGCCAAAATAATTCCTTTGTAGCTTTTAGTGTGAAATATTATGGCAGGGACTAAGTAAAAATAAAACAATTCGGAGCACAGTAAAACAGTCATCAAGTGACTCTTAAGTTGTGATACTGCCTCCTTTGCTTTAAAAAAATTTTTTCTATTCAGGGATCCAAGAATTTCAGTAATTTTTAACTGAGCAGATCATCACCTGCCTGTTTCAGTATTTACTATCACCAGTCATATATATATAGAAAAAAAATTTAAATCTCACCCATTTCTTCTTGTAAAACTTAAAGATTTGCTTGCCATAGACTGGTTATGCTTTGTTATTCTTGGACCCCTGCTATTTTCCCAAACCACTACATTCACCTTTTTGCTATACCAAACTGGAGCTGGTAATTCTTAGTTGAGTCATTTTACCTAGGGGACCACGGTACAGCGATAAGTCACTCAATTACTACCTTATGATTGACAGTTCACACTGGAATCAAAGGTGAATTCATGGGAGTAGAGGTGAGATATCGTTAGGCAAGTCTACAAAGAGAGATAGATGGGCATTTATTCATCACGCTGAAGTGAAACTACTGCACAATATTATTACATCAATAGCATATATTTACTTTTGTAAGTTACACGTAATGCATCTCTGATAAGATAAATCAAGAGGGCTCCGGGGATGTTAGTTTACATTTCAGCAGTAGTTTCGTGATAATGCTAAATTAAGAAATATATAAACCTCACCGACATGTTTTTTCTCACCTTCTTGTAAGGAGCCTCAAGCATTGCTTCAATATCAATATCGTCTGCCATTTTCTCTAATCGCCTAGAAAATAAAAAAGGTAATTCAAGTGAGTAAACATTTTTCAACGGCGCTCAATCTCCTTACCCGACACACTTCAAAACTTCAGAAAAACCTTCAAAAAGCCCTCGAAAGAGTAAAGTAGCACGATGCACTTAACCAGACTTGGTATTTAAATCTGAAATGTCTCCAAGACTGAACACACGGAAATACATTAAATGTACGATTAAAAAAAAAAAAAAGGCCCACAATTAACTCTAAAAACAGAATCCGCGCGCCGCGAGTTTAGACCGCCTCTTTCCTCGCAAAACCCGCGCTGCCATTTTAGGGGCAAAGGGAAACTCCCTCGGTTGGGAGGGGTTGTATGCCGTGGTAGCGTTCGGCTGGCGCCATGTTGGGAGGTCGCGGCCGGCCAGGCCTCAAAGGGACCGGTCGCCATCCGCCCGAAGCCTCTCTGGGGTCCCTGCCACCCAAAAACCCAAAAATCGAAACGACCGGAAAATAAGGGCGCGGTCGCCGAAATGCAGCTGATTTCTCGAGCCAAACCCCCCCCCCACCGCAGTGCTTAAAGACCGCCTAAAGAGTGCCCCTCAAACCAGACAAAACCCAAACCTCTGAAAAGCTCTGACAATACACAAGCCCGCGACATCTCCTTACCTGTGCGGGCTTTCGGGCCCCTGGGGTGCTTGTATTCGGAAAGGGGGGGGGGCGCTGCTGCTGCTGCCGCTGTTGCTACTGTTAAGCCGCTAGGCCCAGGCCGCGGTACCGCCCAGCCCGAATTTCGGGCTCCGAGGGCGGATAGGCCCGAGCGAATCTAAAAGAAACAATGGGATTAGAGGAGCCCGCGCGGAAGTTCAGGACGGCGGCTTCGGCAGCTCAGGATCCACCCCTGCGACAGCTTCGGCAAGCTCTCTGAAATGGCGGCCGCTGCTTCCCCGTACTCACATCCACCAACACACATACACACACACAAACACACGGGGCCTCACGGAGCGCTCAGCACGGGCTCTCGCGAGAAGCTGCCTCCAGTTCCAGACCAGAGCAACTGAAATATCGCGAGATATAAGCATAGCCCCGGCGACCATGGCCCAATCTCGCGCAATGATTGCGCCACAGATATTCCCATCCCCCACTCAGAGCGGAGCATTTGACACCCCCTCCGCATAGACGCTCGTATCTCGCGAGACCGCGCAAGAAGCTAGCGCTAAGACAGTTGGTACACATCCCGTCAATCTTTTTAAAAGCTGAACGCTGAGTGGACTTCGGTGGTCTCCTCCTCCTTGTAGCGCCTCCTCACAGCGGTCTGAAGGTTTCTCTTACAGAGCTGACCGCCTCTCCCCTCCCCCGGGCCTCCCACCCTGGTGTCTGTCAAGGTCGCCATCAGGCAGCCTAGTCCATATGGCGATAGACTACAACGAAAACCGTCATGTATGTATAGATTATCTGCCAGGAGTGAGGAAGTGAAAAAGCATGCAAAAGAGAAGGCAAGAAGAGACCATAGGGGGCTATTGCTGTTGAGTAAAAATTAGATATTCCGGCCTCTTGGAGCCAGTGGGCTAGACACCGCTAACTAAACGCTCTTGGAAATGGTGTAGAAAGGCAAAGAGAAGGTGAAAAAACAAACTGCTTCCGTCGGCAATGGATAAGCTTTTTGCCCCGAACTTTATAGTCTGTCCTTGTGTCAGGGATGCTATTGTTTCCTCGAAAATGTCCCCCATTCCCCTGGGACTTGGCTTTTCGTCCCTTAATTCTCCAGATACCTGGCAGTTAAGAGTATAAAAGCACCACTTGTTCTCTGGTCAACACTATGAAAAAAGAGGCAGCAGAGAGGTCGACTATAAAGCTAGTACTCCAAGATAAAAGTATTTGAGGGGCACCTGCGTGGCTCAGTGGGTTAAAGCCTTTGCCTTCAGCTCCGGTCATGGTCCCAGGGTCCTGGGGAACGAGCCCCGCGACGGGTTTTCTGCTCAGCAGGGAGCCTGCTTCCTCCTATCTCTGCCTGCTTGTGATCTCTGTCTGTCGAATAAATAAATAAAATCTTTGGGGGGAAAAAAAAAGTATTTGAAAAAATTTTTTGAAAAAAAAATTTTGGAAAAAAATTAGAGGACTTAGGAGCAAAAAGTCTTACATATAAGTCTATTAACAGCTTAGTGATGGGGGTAAAGATTTGACATAAGATAATTCGGTTCTTATAAGCTTCCAACACTGTGTGACCTTGGACAAGTAATCTCTCAGAGCCTATTCTCCATTTCCTCTTATGAAGAAGGGGGTAGCATAATTACTAGGCTAAGCTTCTAATGAGGCTGACCTAGGTTGATAATGCTCACTCCTAAATTTTCAGTGCTTAGCCTGGTGCCCAGCCAGTTGGATACCCAATAAATGAATGAAGACCTATTAGGAGTATAGTGAGTATTAAATGAGACAGCGTCTGCAAAGTACCTGGCAAATATTTAATCCTCAAGGAAGTTATCTTCTGTTATTGCTAAACACTTATTTAGAGGAAATGTAAGTGTAAAGGAACTTTACATTCCTGGTTAATTTTCCACACAGGTGTTTCTCTTAGAGGATTAATAGATGACGCATAGTTAGTAGTATTCCCTTACTCCTTTTCATGAAAATTCAGATCCTCTTTTAAATTTTTTTTTAAAGATTTTATTTATTTATTTGACAGAGAGATCACAAGTAGACAGAGAGGCAGGCAGAGAGAGAGAGGGAAGCAGGCTCCCTGCTGAGCACAGAGCCTGATGCGGGGCTCGATCCCAGGACCCTGGGATCATGACCTGAGCCGAAAGCAGAGGCTTTAACCCACTGAGCCACCCAGGCGCCCCCTCTTTTAAATTTTTTAAGTGTTGAAAATCATCACAGAATATTAGAGCATAATATGTTCAAGCTAACAAAAAAACTAAAGTTAACTTTTGCCTTCTCTTTGCCCCTTTAATTCTATTATTGTGACTTGTTAATTGTGCAGATATCAAACCATAAAGGTGTCCCCTTAATATGTTTTTGTTTGGGAACACGACAACACAGAATTTGACTTAAACCTCTAGAGTTATTTGGGAATAGGAAGGTTTTAAACTTTCAGTCACTCGATTATTGAATGTTTCTTAAATTGTTTTCTGTTCAGGAGTGATAAGAATGAACCTGGAAATAAAGAGCACAATCAAGAAATATCAGCTGGAAAACTCTTCTCTAAAACAGAAGTATTTTTTATGTTTAAAAGAAAATATTAACATAATATGCTTTTCTTTTTTTTTTTAATATTTCATTTATTTATTTGACAGAGAGAGATCACAAGTAGGCAGAGAGGCAGGCAGAGAGAGAAGGAAGCAGGCTCCCTGCTGAGCAGAGAGCCCCATGCAGGGCTCGATACCAGAACCCTGGGATCATGACCTGAGCGGAAGGCAGAGGCTTTAACCCACTGAGCCACCCAGGCGCCCCCATAATATGCTTTTCATTCATTTTGCAAAATCTGTCTCTGACTGGCTTATGGACATTCTGCATAAATTAATTTCCTTTTCATGATTTTGTTCTTATTTGAACCAGATGGTCATTGGTTTAAATCATCTCCACCATCAAAATTATTATTCTGGAGGTACCTGGGTTGCTCAGTCCTTAAACATCTGCCCTCAGGGGCGCCTGGGTGGCTCAGTGGGTTAAAGCCTCTGCCTTCAGCTCAGGTCATGATCTCAGGGTCCTGGGATCGAGCCCCGCAACGGGCTCTCTGCTTAGCAGGAGGCCTGCTTCCTCCTCTCTCTCTCTGTCTGCCTCTCTGTCTACTTGTGATTTCTGTCTGTCAAATAAATAAATAAAATCTTTAAAAAAAAAAAAAATCTGTCCTCAGCTCAGGTCATGATCCCAGGGTCCTGGGATCAGGGCCCACATCGGGCTCCCTGCTCAGCAGGAAGCCTGCTTCCCCCTCTCCCATTCCCCCTGCTTGTGTTCCCTCTCCCACTGTCTCTCTCTGTCAAATAAATAAATAATCTTTTAAAAATAATAACAATAATAAAATATTTGCCAATGTCAGGACACCTGGCTGGCTTAGTCTGTGGAGCATGCAACTCTTCATTTCAGGGTTGTGGGTTCAAGCCCCATGTTGAGTGTAGAGATTACTTAAAATCTTAAAAATACATTCTGCCAATATTTTTTGATATCAATGTATGACTTTTATGGACAGAAAGTACTATTTTTTTATTTTTAGGATTTTTTATTTATTTATTTGACAGAGATCACAAGTAGGCAGAGAGGCAGGCAGAGAGAGAGAAGGGGGGAAGCAGGCTCCCTGCTAAGCAGAGAGCCAGATGTGGGACTCGATCCCGGGACCCTGAGATCATGACCTGAGCCAAAGGCAGAAGCTTAACCCACTGAGCCACCCAGGCACCTCAGAAAGTACTATTTTTGATGCTTGCATTTTTTTTTTTATTAAGTAGGTAGGTTCCACACCCAGCATGGACCCCAATGCAGGACTTGAACTCAACAACCCTCAGATCGAGACCTGAGCTGAGATCAAGTCAGATGCTTAACCTACTGAGCCACCCATCCGCCTCTGCATTTTTTTTAAACAAATGTCTATTTTATTTTATTTTTTTAATTTTATCTCTTTGACAGAAAGAGAACACAAGTAGGCAGAGGAGCAGGAATAGGGAGAGGGAGAAGTTGGTTCCCCACTGAGCAGAGACCTAAGCCGAGGCAGAGGCTTTAACGCACTGAGCCACCCAGTCGCCCCCTTTTTACAAATTTATTTATTTATTTATTTATTTATTTATTTGACAGAGAGAGAGCTAGTGAGAGAGGGAACACAAGCAGGGCAAGTTGGAGAGGGAGAAGAAGGCTTCCCGCTGAGCAGGAAGCCTGACTCTGGGCTTCATCCCAGGACCCTGGGATCATGATTCTAGCCAAAGGCAGACATTTAACTGACTGAGCCACCAGGCGACTGCATTTTTTTAAGTAGGTTCAACACCCAGTGTGAGGCTTGAACTCATGACCCCAAGATCAATAATTGCATGCTCAGGTGCCTGGGTGGCTCAGTCATTAAGCATCTCAGCGGGAAGCCTGCTTCTCCCTCTCCCACTTGCCCTGCTTGTGTTCTCTCTCTCACTGTCTCTCTCTGTCAAATAAATTAATAAATTAAGTTAAATTTTTAAAAAAGGGGGGGCGCCTAGGTGGCTCAGTGTGTTAAAGCCTCTGCCTTCGGCTCAGGTCATGATCCCAGGGTGCTGGGATCAAGCTCCACATCGGGCTCTCTGCTCAGCGTGGAGCCTGCTTCCCCCCCCTTCTCTCTCTCTGTCTGCCTCTCTGCCTACTTGTGATCTATCTCTCTGTCAAATAAATCTTTTTTTTTTTTAAGATTTTATTTATTTATTTGTTTAACAGACAGAGATCACAAGTAGGCAGAGAGGCAGGCAGAGAGGCAGGCAGAGATAGAGGGGAAAGCAGGCTCCCTGCTGAGCAGAGAGTCCGATGTGGGGCTCGATCCCAGGACCCTGGGATCATGACCTGAGCCGAAGGCAGAGACATTAACCCACTGAGCCACCCAGGAGCCCCTCAAATAAATAAATCTTAAAAAAAAAAAAAAAAGGAATTGCATGCTCTACAGACTGAGCCAGCCAGATGTCCCTTGATACTTGCATTTTAAAAATTAATATTCAATTTCTAAAGTAAGTGCATTTTAATAGTTATCCTTAAAACTTTAAGACTCGGGGGGCACCTGGGTGGCTCGGTCATTAAATGTCTGCCCTGCAGCTCAGGTCATGATTCCAGGGTCCTGGGATCAAGCCCAGCAGTGGGCTTGCTGTTCTGCAGGAGGCCCACTACTCCCTCTGCTGTGTTCCTTCTGTAGCTGTGTCTCTCTGTCAAATAGATAAATAAAAATCTTTAAAAAAACAAAAGTTTTAAGACTTGCAGTTTTAAAATTTATGAAGCAAAAATTCTAAAATCACCTTTATTTTATACATTGAGTTAAATTCAAGTTGAACAC